AAATGCTTTCATTTGTATGTCATAAAAATCTTTGAGGATATATTCTGCAACGTATTTGTTGCACTTGTGCTGCTATTAGTAATATTATTAATAATTAATATTTATTCGTTTTTTAGTATCTTTTTTGATAATTCTGTTAAAATTATGCACTGTGAGTTAAAAATAAATAAATGAATAATCAGTTGAAGATGACAAATAGTTGGTAAGATTTGATTTATGCATTCATCTATCTGTCCATTTGAATTTGCTAACAAACTTCAATTTACTATCTGAGCTCAGTACAAAACGCCGAAATTTGCAGTGAAAGGTCAAAAATACAAAGGTTGAAAAGATAAAGATCAAAAGCCTAAAGGTCAAGACAAACAAATTGTTCATCTAAATTCCAGTAAGAAGTATTTTCATACACGAAAGGATTGATTTTTATAGATCACAAACTGATTAAGCTAAATAAATTTGAAATAAATCGTTGTACAAAAATATAAGTGAAGTAAGTATTTGAGTGATGTCTGATTTACAACTCAGAAAATGCCAGAACTTTACAAATATCAAATGAAAAAGGTAATGTTTACAAAAGAATTCAACTTGAAAGTAAGCAAAAAAGCATCTCGTATTAGATGTCAATTTCAAAAGGTTAAAAGGTAAAAGATGACAAAGTCAAGCAAGTAATCACAAGTTGCAGAGAATCTGACCACATAGATGATGATTTATTCAGGCAAGTAAATCCAGTTTCAGCTTCTAAAATCTAGTTTAGTCAGAAATAATACTAAGTGGATAATCCTCTCGAGATCGAACCTCGATATTTCTCAGAGTATTTTTTTAACTTCATGTTTTGTTTGTGTAATGGATGATGACAGGGAGGATCGAAAAATATCATCAAGACTGGAAATTTACTTTGTCCAGTTTTCAAGTTATAAATGATGAATAAATAAAACTTTTCATCACATATACACAATTCACTTCTTCATTGCTAAGCTCTTGCAAGCTACGTTTATGTATACGATTACGTCTACAAGTTATTTCTCACAATAATTTTTTTTCAATATTTTATCATTAAGTCTGAAGTTCACTACCACATGGTTTACTTTTACTTATATTTTTGTAATGCATTAAAGTTAAAAGTACAAAGTTAATTTATTTCATTTACAAGTAAAAATATCGTTTACTGATATACAGAAAATATTTTAAATGACTAAGCAGATCTGTATTCAGGAGGATATCAAGAATGATCAAGAGCATACTTTCCATTCATTTTTGCTTTCCAACAGTTTTAGCTTTGATAGCTTTACCAGGTCAAATTCCATATTGGGCTGGAAGCGCAACACCTGCTTCATTGCTTGGGAATAACCTTGGTCTTTCTCAATTATTGTCGAGCATACAACTTTCAAACTTGGGTCTTGGAGGTTTAGGAAATTTATTGGGTTTTGGAGCTTCTACTGGCTTATCTGGGTTAAGTGGTTTGACTGGTTTAGGTGGACTTTCTGGGCTAGGTGGCTTGACTGGTTTGGGTGGATTTTCTGGTTTAGGCAGTTTTCCTGGTCTAGGCGGTGGAGGCTTTCAAGTTATACAAATACCAATTGGAGATTCTGGTAATAATAATTCACCATCTTGCATTCCATGTTCATATTGCACGCCAACAAATTATCCAACAAATAATCAGCCAACAAGTAAGTTTACTCAAATTTTTCTTCCTCAAAATTAACCTATGTGAATTACTTTTTCGATAAGTATATTTTAAATTCAATTCTTTTTTCACTTAGCAACAATTACAGGTTGTATAAATTTAACTCCACAACAGCCTTCAACAAATGGTCAAATTTGCTGCTGCTGTACTAATTCTATGCCGATGGTTGGAGCCTTAAGAAGGTGATCAAAGCTCTGAGTTAATTATTCATCTTTGTCAACACATATCTATGTATTAATGGTTATCAATAATATTCGCACTGCTAATATTTTGTCATTTGCATACTTATTACTGATTTTTAATATTTTACTATTTTTACTTGGTTTTTATATCAAACACAAGTCGAAAATCATTGTTGATCATTTGATTTGTTTATAATTTATGAAATAAAGTTTGGTTCTAATTAAATTTGAATGACTGAATTGTTTAGTGCTGAAGTTCAGCAAGAAAAACGAACAATTTTGATTGTTCTAAGAATTAATCTTAAATTTGCATAATCAGAATTTTTTAACTTAGAGAAGTAAAATTCGAAATTGTTATTACCTGTAAATTATTTCTCAAAAATAAAAGTAAAATACTAACAAAAACAATAAAATGTACAAAAACTATACATGAATTCTTGGCTATTCCATTACTATATTTGCTATTTGGTACTGTACGCTTCATCTCGTTACCACTGTAGATTTTATCATCAAATTATATATTGTTTGCTGCAAATTGAATTATAATGATTAGCTGCATAATCCTTCAAGAAATATTAATTAGTTAAGAAGAATAATTGCATAAACTAACAAATTTATAACCGATAACTTTTTACTTTTATTACAAACTTTTACTATGAAAATGAACTGGCTAAATCTGAAAATTTATTGTATTACTCCCAAAAACAAAACGTTTACCTTCTTTATTCCTACCAAATCGTCTTTTACTTAAATAATTTTTATTAATCATTAGCTCAAGTGGCTTCGTTTTCATTACAAAGTATTGCCATTTTAAATATAATTCAAATATTGAAATTATTATCGTCGTTAATGCTACAATAATTACCACAGCTTTCAAAGAAATGTATGCCTGCAATGGAATTATTTAAATGATATTATCAAGAAAAAGCTGATTATTTATTTGAAATGTGATAAAAATTGTCAAAAAATAACAAATACAATTTTATGCAAATTTTTGCTGATATTATTTTCAAATAGTCAAGCCGCAAGTTTGCAAAAAATAACTACTTTTAATGAGCAAGCAAATGCGAGACTAGAAATTACCTTAAATTATCTTTGAAGTAAAATTCAGATTTATGTTATTTACAATATTTTTAGTTTCAAATGAAGTTAAAAAAAAATAAACTAACTAACCCATTTCATATTACTGTGTTGTTTTTGTATCGGCAGTACTGAAAAATAAAGTTTTATTAATCTATGTTTGCATTTTTGAATTTGCTTTTAATTTTAAGTTCCAAAAATAAATTGAGACTTATAAAAATTTTAAATATTATTTATCAAATTAATAAACTTTTGTCCACTGAAACATTCTTGTTAAAATTTTCGGCATCAAGCAGAAATCCATGTTCTGCTTCTATCATTCCTTCAGCTAAATTCAATAAATTTATATCTGAATCTCCGATTTCATCAAATTGTCCTTCCAAATTTTCATTTCCTTCAAAAATTAAATATAGCAGAAGCAAAATTCTTCATATATATATCAAATATATTTTAAAAAAAGAGGGAAACTCATTAAATCTTAAAATTAAATTTTTTAATCTAAAATATCTTACCTAAGGCATGCATAATGTATACAAAATCAACTTTTTTGCAAGATTCTTCATCAAAAACTTCTAGCAACTTTATAGCTTCTGATCCTGTAAATTATTCACTTTAGTGTATTTGCCTTTGATGAAATAATCAATTAAATTCGATTTATTTTTGATGTTTTAAGTTATCATAACTTAAACAGTTATTTGAACAGTTAGAGGGATAGAAAATGATTATTGAGCCTGACCGCAAAATTATAAAATTACTACAGTTTTACTGTGAACAAAAATATTAATAAAATAAATTATTTTGCTAAAAATTGAAGATTAAGCTTTAAATTTTAATATTTTAATAAGGAAAGGACCTAATTTAGCCTGCTGCTTGATCACAAGATCAGATTTGCAAATTAGTTCTAATTTGATAAAATTTTCCTTCAACACAAATATTACGCTTCCCAGCACGCATGATGAATTACTTTTATAATAACCTATAAAAGTGTAGAAATTAAAAGGTTATCAAATATTTATTTTATTCTTTGTATATTTTACATATAACTTTTATTTAGTAAATCTAATCAATTATTGTTATTCTTATATAATTGTAATTACAGATGTAAATTATCACTGCTTTTAATTCTGGAAAATAAAATCTGAGGATGCAACTAGCATTGTTGAAGGCTTCGAATGATGCACTGCTCCTGATTCACTTCAACTGCTAATAATATTCTATTAAATTTATCGCGAAAATATAATGATGGCCTTTAATTTGCATAGTTTAATTTAGAGCTTAGCATTAACATCAGAAAATAACAAATAAATGGAAAGCAAGTGATATGAGCATATGAGCATATATATATATATATTTCAATCAAAAATATTAATAATTGAGCATTTTTTTAAAACATGTCAGCTACAGAAGGATTAAATGCACTGGAGTAATCAATACTTGTAATAAAATAAAAGATACTAATAATTCTTAGAATGCAACCTTGAACACTCTTGTGAAGTTGAATTAGGATATTTGAAGAGCAATAAATGTGCTTTATAACTATTTTCAGATTGTGCTTCTGACACTTCCACATTCATCGTTCGATTCAGAATCATAATCTAAATCACGATTGCTATCAAGCATAAAATAAAGCATATGATGAATCAGTCCTATTAATGAATACTCATTTTCGTCAACAAATACAAATTTTCTTAAATAAAATTAAAATATGTGCAAAAAGAAAAAAATAGTGCAAAAACAAATTTACTTATTTACACAATTGTAATTGAAAATTATTTATTCTTCAAAAATTACAGAATGCTTACCTTTTCTGATGTACTCAATTTTAGAAGCAAACAGAAATAGCTCAAAAACTGCACAAACACAACTGGTAGTAGCAGTCTGAAAACTCAAATTTGAGTACTTTTCTATTTGAAAAATGTAAATACTCATTTTTGTATGGGAAATTTTTTTTAATAAAACTCAAAATTGAAACAGAAATGAAGATATATCAGCTAAACTTCATGAATTAATTTCTCGAGCAACCGCTTATTTAGGCAAATAAAAGATTTATAATGACAATATCATATCAAATTACTGTATTTAATGTATGAATCGATGATATAAAAAGTTTTAAATTTATATTTGTACAACTTTTTCATCACATTCCAATTTTAATTCTGATTTTAATTAATTAGATTATTTGATTCATATCTGCTTTCCACATAGTTACATTTATTTTACAAAAGTACAGTACCTTGAAATTAGATACCACTTTTTATTGTAAACTTGTGATATTGTCAGCAGTCTGACAAACATATACAGTAGCGCTGTGTTAGACGCGTTTTATATGTTTCGTTGGGTCTCGAGTGGAATGTATCCATCGTTGACAAAGAGCGGGTTCTTTGAATTATATTTAAACAGTTCCAGTCAATTGATTTTTATAAAGTTTGCTACGTACTTCAGATATTAATTATTTTTATAAGATTTGTTACTATTATTATCATTATTATTATTATTATTTATCTTTATTGTAACTATCTTTACTACTTAGTTATTATTATCATTACTACTGATTGATGTTATCATAAAAGTGCACTGTACTCCATACCGACGTGATATTCCTTTTTTACATTTACATAGAAATTGAAATTAATAATTTTAAAGCTCATTTTAGTTGCTAGCATTTTGTAGATATTAATGGCTAATTTCGATCCATCGTTGCTTCAGCAATTTCTTCCTGAATACTATCGACGGCTTTTCCCTTTCAAACTTCTCTGCAAATGGTTAACTTATGGTAAAGGTAAAGTCCCTTGTAATTTGCATACTATTTTATTTACTTTGTTTCTTTTCAGTGTTTCTTACTGATAATTTTATGAATTACTTTATTTGCCTGATTATTTAGTAATCCAACTAATTAACTCATCTATTTCCATAACATTTGCTCCTCAAATGCTATCTGCCAATAATTAAAGTCCTTTCATGCATTACTTACAGACTTATCAGCCTCTTTTCAAATGCGCGAATTGGCATTCATTTTCGAAGATGATCGACATGCACGGTATCGAAGTTTTGAAGATGCAACTGAGTTGGAGAAAGAATTGTGCAAAGCTAGCCCTCAAAAACTTGATATCGGCGCAATATATAATCATAAAGTATTTTGGTCGCTTTATTTTTTACCCAACATTTTGAAGATAGTCTAAATTTTAACCTTTGTTTTATACTATCTATGGCATATCAAGGCATTTCGCTTGCATGAAGTTTGTTGTGCATTTACAAATCACAGTATTGTAACACTTTTATAATTAATTAATTAATTATTGATTTAGCTTTCAGTAAAAAATCAATGTTTTTCTTTACATTCGTAATTGACAAACTGTTAAGAATCACCTCTTAGTTAGTAACATAATTTTAGCCTAAGGACCATAAGAAATTCGCTGATTTCTGTCCAGTAGAGCGGGAGCTGGTTTTCGATATTGATTTGACTGATTATGATGATATACGAACATGTTGCTCGTAAGCATATTATATTTCAATAGCATGGTGTTTGAATTTTGGATAAATTTACTTCTGATATGTGTCAATAAATTGCTTAAACCTTATTGCACCGAGCATTTCTCTTTTATCATACTTTCAGTCTGTTTTGTACATATGATTAATAAAACTTTTTTTTTTTAAATTTTGCAAGAAATTTTAAGATTTCTCATTATTATTTGCATTTTTCATGTGTTACTTGCAGAGAAGCCAAAGTATGTCGGAAATGTTGGAGATGGATATCTTTGGCTGTAGGCATCTTAAGCTATCTACTAGAAAGTAGGTTAAGATACTGTATGCCGATCTCTTACCTTGTCATCTTTGAATACGCTTCCTAATCGTTATAGTTCATTGTTTAAGAGCATTTTGGTTTCAAGCACTGCTGTTGGGTTTTTTCTGGACGTCGAGGCATTCACTGTTGGGTTGCTGATGCTGTTGCACGAAAGCTTCAAAATTCGGGGCGAGCAGCAGTTGTCGAATACTTATCGTTGGTTATGGTGATCTTTAGAAATTCAGGTTTTATTATGATAAAAGCGTAAAGTAATGGACCCATTTTAAGAATTCTTTCTGTATTCTTAAATATAGTACTAAGTTATTTTTAATGCCAGTTAACTAAGAAACTGCAGAGTGCACAGAAAATTTCGAAAGCAGCAACAAAACGATCATTTGTTCACCCAATGCTAGAGGATGCATATCGCTTTTTGGTGCAGAGGTCATTGTCTCTTGTTTTTAAAAAATAATTTTTCAGTTGTCTGTTTGATAACTTCAATCCAAGGTTTCAGCCACGATGTAAGTGAAATGATGTATGAGCAAGGTTGGATGAGTGACGATGGCTTAATGTCGTTGCTGGATGGTTGCGGGAATAAAGAAGTTGAGGAAGAAATTAGACAAATTATAAATGAGATCAAAACGTATCTTTTGCGGGAAATTATTTCTATAAAATATGTCTAGTAGTTTCATATCTAGTTAGTGCATCTCAATATCTTATTTATTTTAGTATTGATTGTCACGAAAAGCGGTGGAATGCTTTACGAATAAAATTTGACAATTATAAACGAGCTGAACTGAAAAGAAATGGAATTGAATTATGCGAGGTGATTAAAATTTTTTGCAATATATCTAAACATATCTATTATCTGCACCTCGTATTTATCTGGTAGCACTTTATTGCTCTAAAAAAGCGATTTTTTGCTTTTATATTGCTTACAGGGTTACTTTGATGCTAAATCATTTTCCACGAAGTCTTATAATGGAAAAAGTTTTGATAGTCTTTCAATCATTTCAAATTAATAGGTTGCAGGTAGCTAGTTCGCAGTCATCATTTCATTTCCGTGGCTATTTACTCCAGCGTACTTATCCACGACTAGATATCCATGTTTCTACTGGTATCAACCATCTGCTAAAAAGTCCATTTTGTGTCCATCCAAAAACAGGTCTTGTTGCTGTTCCTATCAGTCCAAATCAGATATCTCAAATAGATATTGAAAAATTACCTCGCATTGAGTAAGTTTTCTTTATGCTAATTTGTATATTAATAATAACTAATAGACATTCTGTTTCTATCAATTATTAGATGATATAAGTATGAAATTATTTCAGCAAACTGTTGCATGAAGTTCCAAAATTAGATCTTCTTGAAGCAGGAAAAGAAAATGAACGACGTTATGGTATGTGTTTCTTTCTATATTTTTTGAATTTTGTCAATTATTTTCTACGATATTACCATATTTGCTATGAGGTTCTCTAACTCGTAATTATTTGAATAATATGCAGTAGAGTTACACATTAGAAATTTAGGTTATTCTTATGTGAATTCGTTTCTTCTCAGAGACGTGTATAGAAGGAAAACAGAAATCTAAATATACCAGTGGTTTCCTTGTTCAGTATGATATTTTTCAGAAATCAAGCAAACCTCTCTTGGACCATATATAAAGCATTTTGAAGAATTTGTGGATAGATTAGTTTATGATGAGCAGCAACAAAGATAATGTAAAACAAAAAGTGATAGCCATGTCTTGTTTTAGTCATCTCTAGATCCATGGTAATAAAAAAAATGACATTCAGTGTGTCGAAAGTTTCTGATTTTTTGGTAATCTAAGTCTTTAGTTCATATTTAAATGAAAAAGTTGTAAGTTTTTGTAATTTATTTATTGTAAAGCAATGATTTTCGTATTTTATTTATATCATTATAGTTTCGATGTTAGCACTTGATATTCATCCAAAATGCATTATTCATTCTATTTCATATGTAGCGCTTTCATGGATAGCAGTACGTAATTTTGCACCAAGTATATGCTGTGTCAGGTAGGCAGGTAGATCAAGCCTATTGAAACATGTATGAGCTCTTGGTAAACTTTTCTCAGATCCCCATTTTTCTGAAATTACACAAATTAGCTCAGAAACTGCCAACTTACATTTCTTATGATATTTTTCTAAACGGTTTAGAAAAACATAAAGCACCTATTGTAAATTTTTTTGGACCATCAGAGCCACGCAACGCTTGGAAACCATCGTATGGTACGCTGGATGTTCCAGTAACAAACTATAATTTTAAATAATAATTTGAGGTGAGTTTTCTTTTCATGGAAAGTTTTGGAAATTTTATCGGATATTATCGATTACAGCACTTTTATGCAATATATAGAAGTGAAATTTTAATATATTAGATTTAATATATAATTGTTCTTTCTGCAATGCATAATTAAAATCCACTTGAAGTAGTTTAAGTCTGTCTTCATTAGTCATTCCATAAACTATATTCCAAAACCATGTGATGCATATGTGGTCAGCGTGATAACCATTTTTATATTCTGTGTGTCTCCTCCAGTCTTCAATATCAATTTCCATTGTACCAGAAAGCATTAGTTTTAATTGCTTGTTGTCAAAAATGCGAAGAAGATCTCGATCAATTACCTGGGCAGTCAATCTGGATGAATAAGTAAGCAAGAATCAAAGTACTATTCTGTACAAAGCTACTTACTATAGAGCCTTAGCCATTGCAAAATGTAACAAACAGCATAAGAAAAAAAATGATAATATTATGCATAAATAAATTTTTGTTTACTGAGATAATGAATTGACCATGCAAATCATTGGTCACTTACGATCACTTCTATCAATATAGCGCTACCTGATAAAGCCCACGTAAAAGTGCTTTGCTCTGTTCACTAACGCCTCTTTCGATTCTCCATTTGATCATTAAGGTAATAAATTCATACTTATTTACTTCTGTTACCATCAAATTCTTACCATCACGTAGAAGTTCCCTATCAACAATCTGAACGTATGTTATCATAACTTATTACACTTTTATAATTAATTTTTTTACTTTATAAAGAAAAGTGCAATCAATTAATGTTAGTGCCGCAAATTATTTTTCACTTTTTATATGAAGTTCGATTTAAATTAGTAAAATTGATACTAGACAAAAATCTTTTTAAAATTTAGAATCTATATAAGAATTCAGAAACTTACCTTCCCAGTAACATTTTCAGTCACACTAAACGTTAATCCAAGATCTTCTGTAATTTCATTCTCTTTGATCCATACTAAACTATTGTAAAACTGTGGATCCATAGCTTTTAAGTCATCTATTGAAGGGGATCTATAAAAAATTTACTAGCAAAGAAAAGTTAAAATTAAATTATCAGACAATTTCTGATAAAAAAACAGTTCAAACTTTACCTGCCAAGAAGAACCTTATAAAAGGCTTCTGTGAAAAATGTATCAATAAGGAATCGATGAATAACTGCTAATCCCAGTACTCGTCCACATAATTCCATCCTTAAAAAATTGCTTAATTTCAAAAATTTTGCTTAAAATGAAAATTTAATTTACTTTTGCGAACCAGTCAGTGTAGTGATCAACATAAACGCTCATTGGACTGATTTGTACTGTGTAAGTGTCGTTAGCTGAATATTCGAATAAGCCATTGTACGGATTGAATAGTTCTCGAGAAAGCAGAAAAAATAATTCTCTCGATGGGCCACCATAATCAAGTCTAAAATCTTCATCAATGATGCGATCCTAGCAGTCCATTTGTTTTTCTCTTAATATTGTAATTCTTTTTCAAAAATAATATCTCATAATCTTAAGCTTATACTTATTCTTGTATTTGGCAAACACAAAGAGTAAAGAAAATAGTATCAAACCCGTCTTCCTCATCGAAAACAACAGAAAGCTGACTTTTTCTTAATTCTGAAGCATCTACTGATAGCATTTGATTATATGCATCCAACAGAAGTTGTGATCGACGAAGCTGAAATCTGAAATTGATCTGCTCAACTGTTTGTAATTGCTAACTATTAGTTCTAAATTTGTCATAATGAGCATAATTATAACGCACATACAAAAGATAAGCTTGTTTTTAATGGATATTATAATTCTTGAATTTATTCGAACAGTAATATCGTTTTCAAGCAAGTAATTTTTGAAATTGTTCGGTTCTATTCATTATGTTCTTTATAAATTTACATTATGTTTGACAAAATTTACAGGCCTTATTTTTGCTGGTCCTTGACCATAACCGTTTTTTTCCATACATTTGTAAAAATGACTTAATCGTTCTTTAAATTCATTTTGATCTGTACTTGTTACTGGTCTAAAATTTATAATTTTTTTTTGGATGTAACTGATTTTGCCGTTGATAACAAAGTGAAATGCGTGAAACAATGGCTGCAGATAATGTTGCTTGACCTGTTTATCGTGTTTGATTCCAGATCATCATCGGTCCAGGTTAAATTTGCTCGTGCTAATTTTTGTTTTAAATAAAATGCTAATTCAGGTAAAGGAAAATGACGCATGCCATTAAAGTTTGCATTATTAAGCAAATCCAAAATATCATTGCCATTAAAATCATACTGAAATTCACATATAACTACTTTATTAAGCTTAAAATTTCATTTTTATATACTTTTACGTGATGCTATAGGACAAAACAGTATAATCTCTGTGTATATTTATACACTTTCAAAAGTAATCTTATTAATTATATGGAAATAATATCTTTCAGTACTGGTATTACTTAAAACATTAACTTTGCAATCAGAAATGAAATTTGAAATCATTAAATTAAATTAAAGTAAAAATTATTCACACTATGTCTATTTACTGGGGCACTTCGAGCTCGTCTTTTAGGAAGTAATGGTAGTCGTGGGTCAAATAAGGTTGTTCGACGACTGCGATGATCAACGAATATTGGCTGGATAAAGTATTAGAACGGAAATTAAAATTAGATAATAATATAGTTAATGCAATTTTTTTAATAAAAACATAAAAATAAAAATGTAAATTGTTTGGTTATTAAATATTTAGTTAGATCAATCGATTGATCAAATTATTTACAATTGAGCCTGAAATATTTATGATCAAGTTTTTGCTTGTAGCATGCTCTATGAATATGGCTTATTATTTCTTAAAACTTTTTACTATTAATATTTTTACACTGCAAGTAATCAGTGGAGTATATAACAAGCAAAAATATTCATAGTTCATATTGTTTGTTCCGTTCTCAACGTTTTAAAAAATTAAAGTTTTTGATTTTATCAGCTATATGCTCTACTGATTATGCTCTTGCTTTGTAATATGCCCAATCTTATTAAGATATTTATTTATTCATTTAAGATCAGTAATCTTTACCTGCTCATTAAGATGACCACTTAATTGCCATCCTTCAGGTAATGGCAAAGTATTGTCAGCAAATAAATTGAGAAATTTAACTAATTCTCGATTTTGCTTAAAACGTTCAAAAGTATTGCCATCTCTTCGAATACGATGAAGAATATGCTTTAAATAACGACTGCTATTGTAAAATTGTAAAGCTTCCTAAAAAATACCATTAATTGAATATATTATCTTCCGGAAGAGTAATCTCCGTGTGATGTTGATTTGATTATTTTCGATTCCGCGAGTAATAATTCTAAAGCAATTAAGCAAAAATTAGTTATTAAACTAATTAAAAATGTAATTAATCTCAAATATTAATTTAAAATGGCAAGTTATTCAAAGTGAAATTAATTAAGTATACTGAAAAGTTGCTTACATCATTTGCATGCAGTAAAGAAGTAAAATCACTTCTTTGAATAAATTCAAGCGGAGAAAAAGAATTCTCAACTGTTACCGCTGACTGCTCACTGAATTCTCCGCGAATTACTGTTCGTCGCGTACATACAGTTCTGTGTTTTAATTTGCATATGCAAATAATTTGAGAATCAAATATTTTTTCACAGTAACATATTTTTCTAGAACATATAAAAGAAGAAAATTACTGACTGTGAAAAACTTTACAAGAAAAGTTATTTGAGAATAAGACGAAAACGTTGAAAAATAATCACACTAAATAAAGGCAAATTAAAAATGGATCATAAGAACTTTCTACAATTATTTGTAGAAATATTTCATTTTTAGGAACATTTATTATTAGCAGATGTTTTGAAGATTTGTAAACAAATTAACTTCTGCGCGAGTTTGCTGTGAGTTGTGACACAGCTATTTGCAGGTGCTTCCCAAGTAGTTCGTTTATTTATATGATCTATATAAAATATCCGACCATAATCGTCTACTCGGGCTTCCCAATCTAAAATTTGCATAATTTTTAGATTATTTGTTTATTGAAATTATCATTAAGCAGCAATTATCAAATCGGCAGATTATATATGCTTCACAAAATTGAACTCCTTTTGATTTACCACATATTTTTAATAATATGCGGTATTAATTAAAGATTTACATATTTCGACTTCTTTTTTACATTGTACTAACTTTTAAAAAAAATATTAAGCTACTGTAACGATACAGTAAATTACAGTGTCTTTTGCTCCGTATATTAATGTAATTTTTTAACTTCAAAAAAGCTACATTTTCATATAAATTTAATTTTATAAATTTGTTTTAAATTTCCCAAATTTCAGATTTCTTTCGAGCTCAAATCATTTCAGAATAGTTTTCAAACTTTTACAATTTTAAACTTAAAAGAAAAAATAAATAAATAAGTTTTAATCATTTACTTTGTTGCGTTTGCGAAAATGAAGCGGCAAGAGAGGACGTTGATGCTCCATCTGGTCTTAAAAACATACACTTTGAAGAAACTTTTCTATTCAGACTATGCAAGCTTGAAACGTTCTAATTAAAACTAACTCTAACCTTTCGATATTAGCACTCTCAGAGGTCAAAGGACAATGCATACTTGAATTAAAGTTGATCATTTCGTTAAATACATTCTCAGGTATTATTACATTACCCATTGCATCTAAAGCATACATGTTAATCACATTTTTTAGTAATTTTCTTAGCTCTCAATTTTACAAACTCATTTAATTGATTACGATAACTTCATGATCAAGAATAGTTTTCACGCAGTTTTAATAACAATCAGTGAAATGAGTAACCGACAAAATCCCGAGATTCAGGTATGACATGTACTGATAATACAACATGACAAGTAAATGGTTGAGATGAATTCGTTGGCCGTAAAACAAATGCAGTTTCTCTGAAAACGTGTGCTGATAATACAATAGTGAACGTGAAGACGTATGTGTGTTCACTCATTATTATTATTGTTATTGTTATTATTATCATTATTAATTTTGTAACATTAGTAAAATGAATAGTAATTACATCTACTAATTTACGAGGAAATTGGAATAATTCTTTAGCTTTTTATTTTGAGGCAAATCACAAGCTCAATAGTTTAATCGAATTTAATGCCTAATTTTTGTAAGACAGTATTAGTTTTACTTAACATGTAGAAAAAATTGATTGCAATACTTTTGATTACTTTAACACCAAAATTTGAATAATGACTAAATTTTAATCCAAAAATTTTTTCTCAATTTACAATACAATAATTTACTTTACTGCATTCTGAACTGTTAAAATTCAGTGCAAATATCACAGTAATTAATTGATAAAATAATTACAGAAATAAATAATTAAACTAACTGGCTTGTTTGCGTGACAAGTTGAGCGATGTGAACATTAGCTTGACCAAGAATTCGGTCTCCAAGCCAACTCCGTTCTCGAATAGTCAATTGTAATTCACGCGAGCAGTCAACCGCAAAAACAAAGTTCTGAAAAAACAAATTTCAAACATTTTTTGATTAATAATAGTACTAATAAAAACCATATTAATTACGGTAATAATAATAACAAAGTAAAATCACCAGATTGTTCCAAGTAGTAATTTCAGATGCGCCTGTACGGTAACTTACAGTACCACAACGTACTTTTGCATATGCAGAAACATTCTTGTAAGGAAAGTTTCTACACTTAATACCTAAAAATGACTAATTTCAAAAAATGTCAAAATACCATTTAATATTTTAGCTAAGCTTTATTATTTTTTCAATTTCTTCTAATTTTTCGCCTTAAAAGATAATAAATAGCTAACTGCTTACATAATTTGGATTTTGATATCACTTTGCAGTTTGTGTTTTTTTTGTTAATTTCAAAGATCTAAGATTGAATGCAAACAAGATATTAACTTTAAATAATCCATAGCTGAAGGTAAAAGCAAAAAGCGATGAATCATTTGAATTCAATTCAAAAGTTTGAAAATTGAAAAAGTTACGAAGCCATAAAAATGAAGCATATGTTGCCATATTGCTACTTTTCAAAATTTAAATTTTGGCATGTTTGGAAACAAAATTCTTTCAAAAATAGCATCTAATAAAAGTGTCACAAACGAAATAATTAGTCCACTAAAGTTGTGTATTAATGAACTTGACTTATTAATAAGCAATAATTGACTAATAAAATTTTGCAATTTAAAAAAATACAAATGCAAAATTTAAAAATTTTTAAAAAATACTACTAGCAATTACCACTAATTACAATTCGAGCTGATGTGTAAACTAGTAATGGAGCAGTAGTAGCACGTAAAGCACCTGATAATCCATCAAAATATCTGAAAAAAAATTATAAATTAGTCAAATTTTATGGTGAAATTATTCTTGCTTTTTTTACTTTAATTATAAATTATTTATTTTTTTTTTTACATTTTCATACTTTTAGGTAAAAAATTGTGATTTTCAATTTTGTCTATTATTTTACGATAATTTATGATTTAAGGAATTGTGATAAGATAATAAACATTATCAGAATTAATTGCTACACATATATCCACTAGCACTTTTATGGCTACTGATTATGATTTTTATGAAATTTATAGATGATAATAAAATAATTACAAATATAAAAAGCAACCGGAAACAAACACAAGTATGGGAACGATGTTTGAAGTCATTTGCAAAAAGTGTCCATCGAATGGAGCCACTCTGAAGTCCACAAACTGCAAAGCTTTTCATGTCCATATATTGAAAAGGATTTGATTCACCTTCAAAAACTGAATTTTACAAAGTCAATAAATATTGCAAATAAGTCACTTTATAGTAAATTTTTGCATAACACTTGTGCTTTTAGCTATTTTTTAGATTTACGAAAAAAACACTTTCAGCATTCAATTTTGAAGCTTTCAGTTGTTAGATCTCATTTTATAAATAAATTTAAACATTTTACAAATGAAACTATTAAAACTAATTTTGCACAGCTTTTTAATAATTATTATTTTGTAAACTTTTTGCATATTAAATGTGAATTATTATTTATTAAGTAAATATATTATTAGCACTGAATAGATTTGCATTACATAAAAATTTGTTAATTGTTTTTGCAAAAAATGAAAAAATGCGTATTCACTTATTATTTTTTAATTATTAATAATAAAAGAAATTAAAAAGTTTATAATCATTGCATACTTTGCAACAAAAAGTGATATTTTTGCAGTTGAAAATGCTACATACTGAATCAAAATAATCGAAGTAAAAATAAACGCAGCATTCCTGACGAGGGAACTTTTTTAGCACTCTCCTCATTTCAAGTGAATGCATAAAGTAAAGTAAGTACTTTACTTTTATTTTCTCTAATGGAATACATTATTTTTTAACTTCGAAAGATGTTATGCAGAAGTAGAAGCAACAATAATGTAATATTTGAACTGAGGAAGAGGAATGTTTTGTATTAGATCATATGACCTTTCACTTACGACGCTAGCTAGGGTCAGGAAGAAACGAGAATCGAAATTAGCTTAGATTCGGAAAGATTCTTTAAAGCAAACTTTTCGGCATACATAGCTATCTTAGGATATTTATACGCATTCACTCATGCAATTCATTTACTTACAATACTTGCATTTTTTACAGATTATACTTTGCATATAAACTTTATAATCATTAGTATTTAGTTATTTACTTTATTTATTCCATTTATTTATTTATCTACCTATTTATGCTACTTCCATAATTATTATTTACACTGCTTTATTATCATCAATATTGTTATTACTATTTACTGCAAACTTTTCCTTTTTCTTGACCACATTTGCCTTTAAGTATTTACTTATAGACACAGTATGTCTTATACTATATTGACATTATCATTATTAATATTGCTGTGATGATAAGTACGATTATCTAAATCATACTGTTTAATCTTAATATTACTATCATGATTATTACTGTTTAGCTTCTAGTTTAGTCTTAATACTGCTTAATTTCAACATGCCTATCAATGTCATAACCGCCAACATTACTATTATGGTCAAAATTACTTATTAAAAAAAATTGTAGTAATAATATTGATATTTAAGTACTGCATTTACTATTTATACGAAATCATAAAGTTCTTTTTCAATGCTTTAGAATTATTGAAAATGATATTATTTTACTCCTATTACTATCTTTCAATCTTTCCTTTCTTGTAACTGTTATTATTAATTTCTCAGTATTGTGGTTGCGTCAATATTGTAATACAGAAAAATTAGTTTAAAATCTACTGAAAATATTAATAATAATAATAATAATAATAAATATTTAGGTCATAAATACTGAAAAAATAATCGCCATCATGGTATATCTACTTTCTGCACAAAAGAATTTTGATGACAAAATTTTACCGTTTTCTGCATAATTAATGTAATCATTATTAAATATTATTATTATCATTAAATACAACTATAATTAAGAAAGTAATAATACTTGTAATAGGTTTCCTTAATAATCATATGTAGTCTTATCATATATTTCAAATATATCAAAAATTTACATTGTTGTGGTTCTCTCTTTTTGCTATTTCTACAAATTATAAAGTCAAACATCACAAAGAAATTTATGGTTTAAATATAGCTATAATAATAACATAATAACAATAATAACAAATAATAATAATAATTTTAATGCATTTCAAGCACTAAATAAGATGTTACAAAATTGATAAAAGCAGTGATATGCGTAAAAACGTTAAAAATAATCACGTTTATTTTATAATGGATTTTTCAAATGGAACATTAATTAATAAGTGCTTAATTAATATTACACATTAAAAATAGCTAATAAAAGTTTTTAAGTAATTTTTTTAGCTAATTTTTGTTTTTCGTAGATTTAATTTAAAAAGTTGTCCTGTTCTTTTATAAAATCACTTTTGCATTTTGTAGCATTGCTATACAAATACAACATAACTGTAATATTTGTAAATCATCAGAATCAGAGCCTTAAACAGTTCAAAGGTCATTTCATTATAATTAGCTAGTGATTACAGGATTAAAGTCTAATCACTGTATTCAAAAATTTTTTTATGATTTTTAAATTAATTCTAATAGGAATATTTAAAAATAAATCATTAAGTATTATTACTAACCAACTCGAAATAATCCAATCCAATCGATATCATTTATTGAGCTGCTAAAATTCCAAGAGATATTTACATCTCGGCGCATATTCGTAATGAGAAAAACATGATTCTGGTTGAGGCCGAGTACAGAATCCATTGGTTGTGTTGCCTGAATTCTATCATTTTGTTTCGCTCCTACCACTGCCATTCGAAATTCACTATTTTTATTCATTCAATATGCAAATTTCCGACCTGAAATTCTCATTTGTTTACATTTAAAAATATTAGGTAAACTTTGTAGCTTAATATTTTAATAACGATTTTATTAACTGAAGCATAATGCAAATACCAAGTGCTCAAGTCAAATATCATAATCATACTAAAATCAAATATTCAAAACAGCACTCAAAAAAACCCCAAAAAGGCTCTACTTTTACATTAAAAAACATTGAATAAAAATAGTGATTTTCAAATGGCAGTCGTAGTGTCAAAACAGAATGGTTTTTTTTTCTGAGTGTTGTTTTGAATCTTTTTTAATACAAATTTTCATAGCTAAACTTCTGAATCAAATATATTGCATCCTAAATTTTAATGAATACTCAAATTTTATCTCAAAAGTAACGACACAAATTTTCATAGCTAAACTGCAACTCTGTGAAATTTGCTTACCAAATTAAAATTTGTACCATAAAAATTTCTTACATTTGAATTAATTTTTTCTATTTAAGAAATTTAGCTTCACCATTTCACTTTACTCCACTAAGCATTTACTTATATTTATTCTTATTTTTGTACTAATTTTGATATTTGACTCGGAAAATGGCAAATACGTCTTAAGTTTTATTTGACGACACGAAATTGAAGTTTGAGAATTGTCAATTTCTTTTTAATTACACTATTTTATACCAATTTTAGTACTTTTTGAAGGTGATAGCTTTAGCTTTCTAATCAGAACTCAAGAATGCTTTTTCAATCTTCAACTTTTTTAATCTCAAAAAATGTAAATTTACAGTTAATTACAATATGAATAGCATCTGAATAGCATTTTAAGAACAAAAAAATTGTTAAGACTCACTTTCAAAACATTATCCTACGCAACAATATAAAACACAATAATCATATGATATTATGACTATATCATCTAGCTTATATTTTAAATAATGCGATAACATAGTGATGTATCAAAAAAGTATTTATTATATGAAAAAAATTGTTAAAAAATGTTTAATAAATTTAAGAAAAAATTTTTATAATTTTGAGAAATTACTAAAAATGACATAAATAAAAGTTTGCAATATTTGCACACATTTTATCAATGTGAAATAATAAATATTAATTTGTAAATATTAAAAAATAAACAAAATTACATTTTAATATAAAGAAAAAAATACGCAATAGCATTTACTAAAATAATAAAAATTGAAACTTA